TCAATTATCTTTTGTATTATACTAAATAGTAGGCCGTCAACACGGCAATGAAATTTAACGACAGCCGTGTTATTTGATTTATACAGTCCATTATATTCCGAAACACTATGAGTTGTGCTAAATTGGCAACCTTATATGTCACAAGAATGCTTCACTTTGAGATGAACAATTTTGATTGCAGAGAATTGTTGCTTTTAAATTTGATGACATTCTAAAATATTTTAATAAAATTAAAAAAATTTAAATTATTATACTTATACATTATTATGCATCTCTTACATCTTTTGATTCTATCAAGGTTTTAATAGAGTTATTAATATTTTAAGTTATATAAATCAGAAATATTAATATAATATGTTCATTAATCATATTATTTATTTCTGCGTTGTTGAGTACAACATCAAAATTAATATTAAACATAAATTTAAAATTAAAAACAATAAAATACATATGAAGTCTGTAAACTTACAGGTACATGGCGATAATAGAAGTGTAGTCCAATATGTTATCACAATTATTTATTTCTTCTTTAAACTGAATGGCCTTGTAAATTTTTCTTTTATTTATATATATTTATTTATGGGTAGGTATTTTACATAGGTACTAGGCGCACAACTTAACCTTACTGTATACTTACTTGAATTGATTTGAAAAGAATTATATGCCCAGGTGATACATAAATTACCGCACAAATAAAATATGGCTTATTGTATTTATATAGGTACCTATTTATAAAATATTATGGCACTTAGGTGATTCAAATCCTTGATTGCATTCCTTACACATATACGGTTTTAAGATAGTATGGTTTAAGTTATCATGGTATTGTAGATCTTGTTTGCAAGAAAACGTCGAATGACTGTGGTATCCCCTTTGACTAACCAATGATTATCGTTTAAAATAGTTTTATTTAAAGGTCAAAGGTTAAATTTTGATTTTGAGCTTAAAAATGTTAACTTTACACCCATGTATGGGCCGGTTAAAATATTTGGTGCCCCCGACTTGAAACTCTGCGCACGCCTATGCATAAACTACTCGCACTAAATTCGATTTTTATGTATCGAAATACTTAAAAAAATATTCTGCTTTGGAATATGAAATTAAAACTCTATGTTGTCATTCAAAAAATTCAAAAAATAAAATAATTAAAACGATTAAAAATATTTAAAAATATAATTTTTTAATAACAAAGTTGTTTTGTAAACGACTTGAAACTATGTAAAATAACCATGTGTGTTACCAGTACGCGCGCGGGAAGTTAAACTTCTTTTGAATAGTACACGTGAGTGAGTGAAAAAGAAAGAAAAAATATTAATTAATTTAAAAAATGAGAAGAAGTATCCGGAATTATTTATTATTGATAGTTTTATTATTTTTTTTATATTTTTATTCGACAGATCGATGGATAATTGTTTGTAGTATTGTTTTTATCCAGACAATAGATTTGTGAGTGAATAAAAATAAAATAAATAATAATCGATCATTAATTATTCATATTAATTAGTATGGCCCGATTATAATATCTAGACACGCGGTAGCGTGTCAAGCCAAGTTCTAGCTAACCGAACTGGCGAGCAGCACCGTGTGTAATATTACACGAACCATTTGGAGCCACTTTTGACCCCCTCATAACTCAAAAACTATTCCACATAAACATGTCAAATTTGGCTCATATATTGAGACTAACGAGATACATATGTGCTCTAAATTTCATAAACACACTTCAAACCGTTATTTAGATATTAACGTCCGAAAATCGTCATTTTTATCACTGACTGACCTATAGGTTATAGATCAAAATTCTAACCCAGTTCCAGATGACCCTAGAACGTTCAAATTTGGCATAAAGATAGGTAGTTAGGTAAATACAAAGGAAAAAATCAGAAACTTGAAAATTTTTAATTTAAAATTTTTTAATTTTTAATTTTTAATTTTGTAATTTTTAATTTTTTAATCAATTGATTTTATTATAATTTTGCAATTATTTTATCTATTATGTTTAATTTTTCAATTTATTAATGAATTGCCTCTAATTTAATGTAATGTAATGTAATGTTGACTTAAATTACCTTTCCCGTATCGCCGCTCCAAAAATACGACTAGCCGAATATGTGTCGATGTTGTCGACCCGCGCGCAGCAACATACTTTTTTTTCTATCTATGTATGTAATTAATATTATTATTTTTAAATATTACAATTAAAATAATTAAATAATTATTCTTACAAATTATGAATTATCCACCCAACAGTAGAAACTATACAGTCAATAAAATTATGATAATTAAAAATATACTCAAAAAGAGTTAAAATAATTTTATATTAATTTTACATATATTTTATACTCTGTATATACAACGGAAAATATTTTATAATAAATATTATTATTAATATTAGTAACTGAATTATATTATATAGTAATAAACTTTATTTATAGAATACGTCATGGCTAGGTTAGGTTAGGTTATAATAATTTACATACAAAAAGTAATGATATCCCACCAAAAACATATATGTAAAATGAGAGCCAAGTTCAGTACTATAATATATGCCTTGGTTGTAAATAATAAGAATATCAAGGCTGGGCAAGTTAACAATTTTTTTTAACTCAGTTATGTGTTAATATTCATTATTCACCAATAACCAAAATTTAATTTAACTATAGGTTAACTCAGCTCATTAAAAGCAAATACTTAATGCATATTTGTTAACTTTTTAGTTTTTATTAAGTTAAAAAAGTTAAATTGTTTATACAACGCTAGCGTAGGTACTTAATTTTTTACCAACTCAAAACTAAATTATAGAGTATAGTGTTTATACTTTATACAGTATTTCCATAAGTTACATTCGATTATTCGAATGATATACATTTTTAACTTTAAACAATTCATATTTATTATACATATTATACATATTGTTTGAATAATATTATTATATTTACTTTTAAAATATACATGTAAAAAAAAATAAAAAAATATATACAAATATATAAATATACAATTATTATGTGAGTAATTTTTATTGTACATATTACTATATTTTTATTTATTGTATTTGTACAGATTATTAACTGTAAATATGTATGTGTACTTACTACTTATGTTAATTTGTTTAATACTAATTTATTGATTATAGGTACCTACCTATTTAGTAACGAGAATTACGATGACTGATCACTAAAGCACGGATTTGTATGTTTTTACATAATTTTTCATTTTAATATTTTGATTTAACATTTTAACAATTTTGACGAATCATAATAATTGGAATTGACTACTAAATTTTTATTTTGCAGTTTTTTGCGTATTTTACTTAAATGCATATTATTTGGCTATAAATGCATATTCCGATATTCGTTGCATATTTTAATGAATGCGAAAAAATTTAAGCCGTTAGACGCTGAAGTATAGCGACAATAAGCTCTGTTTATATTAATTTAAAATACGTCCAATGAAAATGTTATTGTCTGTAGCAGTAGCCGCACAGTAACTGTAATTACGATGATTTGGGTTTTTGGGTCTTTTACGGTAGCCGAATACGGTTAATAGTTGTTGCATGCATTATTATTGTTATATTGATATCTAGGTAGGTATTATAAACCAATTTAGTAATTGTTTGCATCAATAATATTGTTTATTAGTCTAGGGCGCTTATTTCAATAAGCAAAATGCATTTTTTTTTTTGGTTGATTTTAGACAATGCTTTCCAAGTACATAATTCATTTCATGTAGGCAGTGCTTCAAAGCTAAACATTTTATTTTGCATTCTTTGCATATTTTTATTTTTTTTATTTTTAGACCATTTTTAGCATTAATGGGTAATTTTTGTTGGTTTTAATGCATATTTGTTCAATATGTCACCCGTTATCAGACAAATAACAAATAATTAGTGATTTCGTGTTACACCACGGTCGTAGTTTGTATGTTTTTATTTCATGTTCGTAATTTTAATAGGGATAAATATTGTGTTAAATAATGCCCCCACCCCCACAAAAAAAAAAATCATGTATAAATTAATATGGTATTTTTAGGTCATTTTTCTAGGTAAAATTCATTTCTTAAGGCATTAATTAAATTTTTCACATTTTAAAAGCATTTTTTACTCCATTAATTAAATTTTTTAGGTCATAATTGCATTTTTCCTAAGGCATTTTTACGAACAATTGTCCAGGTGTAATATAATTTTAAGAACATAAAATTCAATTAAGGTGAGCGTATTCCGGTATACGGATCTACAGTCTATAGACATACTGAAAGCACTATAACCAACATTTTTGTTCTCATAAAATAGAAATCCCCTACCTATATAAATAACATTTAATTTAAAAATGAACCATAACTCGCATAAGTCCATAAGACTATAACCAATTTAATTTAAATAATATTCATTTTTGACCATAATTATATATTTTTGAACATATAAGTCCATAAACAATTATTATACTATATAGGGGAACCCGGGGCAAGACGAGAAACTTAATATTAAAACTCGTTAGTATGTTGAATTTTTCAGAAAATTAGATGAAACTTGAATGCATATAATATTCTAAAGAGGTTTTAAAATTGTTATTATTATTAATAATTATGGAGGAATAACGCTGTTCCGTCTTACCCCGTCTTACCCCGTCTACCTCATCTTGTCCATGTACCTCTATAAGTAAAAATTAGGATGTAATTTTTCTGTAATTTATTAATTTTGGTGTATTTATATTATATTACTAGCTGAATAACCCGGCTTCGCCCGTGTACGGTTTTTTTGTGTAACCTACTATAACTTTTATTTTATCAGTTTTTATATTTATTACAGGCTGCTTTTAGATAAGTTTATCCTAGGTTGCCCATGTATTGTTACAATCAGAAGTCAGCAAAAAATTACTTTATTTTAATATTTTGAAAACAAATTGTAAGATACAATTCTAATCGACGAAATGTTGAAATAAAATATACCCAAAAACATTATGGTTTTATAAAAATACACCAATATTTATATTGACATATTTTGTTCATCTCAATACCTCTTTATAAACAGTATTTTTGGTACTGCCTTTTGGTGCTAAAATAACCAAACTACTGGCAGAGCTAACTCTAGAACATGCGACATAGAACTGTCCATGTGAAAAACATTCTTCTCTTAAATCAATCCCTGCCATGCCCAATGATTGTCCTTGAGACTTATTAATAGTCATAGCAAAGCAAACTTTGAGTGGGAATTGTATTCTTTTAAACTCAAAGGGATAATCAGTTGGGATTAACGTTATTCTCGGGATTAAAACTATATCTCCTCTAGCACACCCAGTGATAACTATAGCTTCTATTACATTTTTGTGCAGAGATTTAACTTGCAATCTAGTTCCATTACACAATTTAGGTGGGTTAAGATTTCTTAGTAACATTATAGGTGCTCCAATTTTAAGGATAAGTTTATGTGATGGAAGACCAGAAGGATTCAGAGTATTAAGAAATTCTAAAGGGTAATGGACAGCATCATCCGATTGGATCACCGAATCAAAAGATTTATATTCAACAGATTTTTCATTAAATGCCTTTAGTAGAATTTCATTGATTTCTGCTGCCTTGTCGTTCTTTGGAGTTAAGATGGCTCGCTCGCACAACCATTCGATGGGTTTCATCTTGATATTTATTATATCTGGGTAAATTCTGGAAGTTAGTTCTGATAAAGAGCTAACAACTGTACACAAATTTGAGGGAATAGTGATCTCACCTTCCAATGAAGGGAAATTTCCGTCTCCTATTTTAATTAACATCTCAGCGAAAATCCCCGCAGATGTGTCACCTTTCACATGAACCCTCATATTTTTATGAAGTGCAACTTTCTGGATATGTGGCCACAAATACGAAGCTTTTAGACATGACTTTACTTCATCAGCCTTTGTACCCCTAGGTATAACGGGTAATGTTTGCCGAAAATCTCCTGCTAGCAGCACAGTGACTCCACCCATCAAATTATTATATCCCCTTATATCTTTTAATGTTCTATTGAGGGCCTCAAAGCCACCCTTGTGGGCCATTGTACATTCATCCCAAACTATTAACTTACAGTCTTTTAGAACTTGTGCTATATTACTCTGTTTGGAAATATTGCACATAGGTGTCTCTACTCTCGTTAGGTTTAATGGTAATTTAAATACAGAATGAGCTGTTTTACCTCCTTCTAGCAATGTAGCAGCGATGCCTGAAGAAGCTACAGCCAAAGCTATTCCATGATCTTTTCGTACTCTGGCCAATAAAATATTTATGACAAATGTTTTACCAGTGCCTCCAGGTGCGTCTAAGAAAAATATTTGGCCAGTGTTCTTTTCAATGCCCTCTAATATTTTGTTATATACATAGGACTGTTCATTATTTAGTAAATGTTCATTAAAATTTATATACTGTGCCAAAATATTTGAATCATAATTGATTTCTCGAAGGTAATCTTTATTTTGTAAGACTGCTTCACATCTTGATGGCTGAGGTAAACCATAATGTTGCAAAGATGTACCTCCCAGAGATAGAACAGTATCTTCAAGAGTAACTAAGCATTTATTGTATACTTCATTAATAATTGAATTCACATTCTCGGGTTGTATATCCAACTCCACTCGATGTCGTATATCTTCTGAAAGACTGTCCTTGTATTTTTCCCAAAGACTTAAAGCATCTGACAATTGACAAAATATCAACATAATTGCAAAAAGTTCCCGTAATTTAAATGGAGAACCACAAAGCACAGCTTCTTCCATAGTTGTATCCCAGTGCCTTTCGTCTTCCAGTAAGCCTAGAGCCTTACACGCTGTCTGATAAGTAGGTTGAATTGTGCCGTTAACAGTTTTCAATTTCAAAAAAGATGTAGGACCTCGGACTTCATGAAGTAAAAGTCGAAGATAGTAACACTCGGTATTATTAGGGTGAATGGTATATACTCTACCCAGAGCTTGATCAGGTTTTATTCCCGGCCAACCATTTACGGTAATTCCACGTTTTCTTCTCTCAAATCTATTATTTTTCCATACATAGTAAGAGGGAACATCAACATAAAGAAGTGTTTTTGCAAAATCATCTGTTTTACATAAGTCGAAAAATGCTAAAAGAGTAGTTTTTGGTGGATTGTTAATCATGTCTGTTAAACGACTGGAGTCATTAGGGTTGAAATAAACACGCTGGCCATTTTCTAAATGCACGGAAAGATGGAAGACTGTTGGAAATCTCTCGTGGATAGGAAAAGCCAGAATTCTCCATACAGCCTCAGAGCTGCTGATATATCGACCACTTTCATAAAGCTTGACTTCATCATTATCATTTTCAAAACCAAATGCTGCTTGATCACTTCCTTTTGTAATATATTTACAAATGTATTTTATAGATTTTACAGAGTTACAGTACTCTACATTAATATGAGCACCAAATGTACGTGAAAGCACTGGGTTATACGGTACTACCCAACGATTATCAAGTGTATTACCATTTATTTCAACAGTAAAACCACCATTTTCTGGAGCTCTTCGCCTATACTTTGGATACCCGTCGTCTCCTATCTGTGTTTCTCGAATGAAAGTTCTAGGATACTTCTTGCTACAGCTACCTGACTCCATACAGGGTGATCTATTGTTTGAATTACCGCAAGGCCCATGGATCATATTGGCTTTGATAATATCGTAAAGGAGAGAATCTTTTTCAGGATCAGGTATTTCCGCACTAATGATACAATCTAATTTATCTGGAGAAATGCGCTGTTTTAGCCATAACAAAATATGTATGTGTGGTAAACCACGTTTTTGCCATTCGACCGAATACATAAAACATTGCACTTCCCCAAACAAATTCCCTTTTGTTAACAATTTCATTAACGTCTTGACTTTTAAATGAAATATCCTAGCTATAATATCATGACGATCGTAGGACTTTTGTTCAGAAAGTAATGCATTTGAAACTTCTCTCCATCGAGAATTACATGTGAAAGTTATGAATAAATCAGGACGACCGTAATGACGAACGTATGTCATGGCGTCCTGAGTTTTTTCATGCATATACCGTGGTGAGCCAGTAAAAGACGACGGAAGAACTACCATCTGACCAAGATGGGTAAGATCGGTATCTTGTCTCCCAATAGCATCTCTGAGATGTATGTAATTATCAGCTCTGAGTTGCATTTGATTGTTTTTAATAAAATTTAAGCGCTCTGTTTCAATTTTAGCGTACATTTCAACTAAATATTGATTAAAAAGTGATCTAAAGTACAGTAAATGGTTGATTTCCGTTTGTCTAATCATGATGTGGTAAGAATAAAATTGCGATGCAGAAACTGTTTTCTGAAGTGGTAATTTAGTTTTTGGATCAATCTGTGAGATATTAATGGAATAACTATCCTCCCCATGACAGAAAAGTAACGGGTACTGAAGTGTATCGTATGAACGGTGCAATTCACTAATACGTTGCAATTTGTTATCATGACTTTGTAACACAATATCTCGTTTTTCAAACTGTTGTCCAACTATGACCAATGATACTTCACTTGTTATTGGTGCATTATAACGTCCTCTGTGAGCATTATCAGGTTTTCTATCAGCGTGTATTATAATTTCAAAGTTTTTACTATTTTGAGGTACTCTTTCGAGTGTGGTTTTCAAGTCCTTTATGTATGGGTTATTATGGTGCAACATCGCTTGTAATTGTTTTACCAGGCTTTGCTTTACATCAGCGAAGTGGCTACATCTTAAGCGTGTTTCTCTCTCATCATCTCCAACGAAATAAATCTGTAGAAATTGAGGGTTTTGTTGAGGTAAAGCTTGCAAACTACCAATTAAATGATACACCTGACCTTTCACTTTGAATGTGGGCATAAATCCATCTTCGATAATTTGTTTCGCTCCAAAAGATGTCATTTGGAAGCAGTTATTGTATTTTCTAATACGGTCCATGAAATTTTTGTGATCAGGATGGAACCCCATAATCAAACTGTAAAGAGGTTTAGGAAGAGGTAAAAAAGACGGAAGTTGTACTTTACCGGCACTACAACACATTCCAGGCGCCTCTTCTTTGAATTTAAGAGCATCGCAGTATACGCATTTATGACTCATAGTACCCAAAGATACAGTTTCATCCGTCTCATAAGCTATTTCCGATTCATATTTCATGCCGGAAAAAGCTTTTATTTTCCATGGAAGGATTCGCCTCTCTGATCGTCCTCCTGGATTATTTTGTTCATATCTATGAACTTGCACTCTATTTACTTCTGGATTTTTTTTTTTATACTTGGCTGCTGCTACTTTATGAACTTCTTTATTTTTGAGCTGATATTTAGTAGCAGATTGTATAAGCTGTTTTTTTCTGATATTATTTGTAAATCTCTTCCGTCGTTTTTTAGTATGCTTCTGAGAGCTGGGTATGTTATCAAACTCATCAGATACAGAGTTAGTCAATTCATCTTCATATGGTAAATAAACATCAAAATGCCCATTAGATAGGTTTTGCATAGAACTAAAACGAAATATCTTTACGGGGTTCCTTTCTGAACCAAATTTTTCATACAGTTCACCATTGAGGTACACCTCAATAAATACCAAAAATAATTGTCCGGCTGCCACCAGCTCACATAAACCTCCATAAGTATTAAATTTTAACATATCACTAAAGTAGTCAGCAGAACTACGATAATTATTTCCATCACTATCATGTGACATTATTGAATAATCTTCCCAATTATTTATCACATGGGTTACTATCTTTTTACGTACTTCTTGGGCCTTATCTTGAGTGTCATATAACACAAAAGATATTGCCCTAAACAGGCAAACTCCGTCACCAATAATTGGAATGATAGTGTGGGACTTCATTATGCCATTTATGTTCAATAATTCGACAACCATATTAATTATTTTTTATTAATTTGTAAGTATGTAAATTTTATTTTAATACACTTCAATGTTTATAAAAAACCGTACATAAACAAAAAAAACAAACATGCCCGATTAACCATAGATTATACTGTATTAGCCAGTACATCGAGCTGATGTATTAATTGCCATAGAGATGTCTAAATTGTTATTATCATATCAATATAAATTATTTTTATTTTTAATTCACTCATTTTAATACCAATATTGTATATTTAAATTAAATATTGCTTGATAGATGGCGCCACTATCATATTCTTTCAACCCCACTTTTACCCCCTTGTAGGTTGAATTTTCAAAAATCCTTTCTTAGTGCGCCCTTACATTGCTTAAGGAACCTCTGTACAAAATTTCAAGTCTCTAGACCCAGCAGTTCCGGCTAGGCGATGATGAATCACCCAGGACAAGTCTTTTTATATATACAGATGATGTATTAGTTATAAATGTATAATATGTTTACTATTGACTATTAACCTATTGACTTATTGTACCTATTATTTTATATAATTATGACTTCATAAGTATTTATGTATATGCAGTTCGCCTATAGTGAATTGTGTTTACAGAGTACAGACGTTTTACGTTTAATAACTATAATATATAACTAAATAACTATTTATAACTATATATGTATATAGTTAATAAAATTCGATTGGAAATATAAAAGTATCATGTTTATCTTTGATACATGCATCTTGTATCAGTATCTTTTCTACATTCATAATGTACATAATATCTTGTATCTTATATCTTAATACACTAAATGCATGTATTGTGTATCCTGATACTTTTATTGAGTATCTTGCCCAGTGCCGGCGCTAGGTATTGCGGGGCCCTTGTCATAGGTAATAGCCTTTAGGTTCACAGAGAGTAGTGAAATTTTAGCTTTTTTTTAAATCAGGATTTTAAAAAAAGTACTGTTTTTATATATAATATAGGTAAACAATTAAATTTAAATAATGCTCTGTCGATTTTTAATGAATCAAGATATTTTAATGAAACAAAAATCAAATTAAAGCTTATTTTTATCTTTGTTATTCACTTGCCCCATATATAATTTTATGTAATATTAATAGCAAAAACAATCCGATTTTGCACTTGCCCCATGAAAAGGGGCAAGTGTGACGTTTTAAAATTAAAAAAAAAAAAAAAAATTATTCTTAGGTGAGTGATAATATAACTTTGTTGACTATAAATTCCAATTATGTATATCTAGTGGTGTTACATTATGGAACAATAACAACTTTAAGTTAAAAACAAAAAAAGTATTGTCAAATTCAAAATTAACTTTTCATTTTTGCGTCACACTTACCCCACTTTACCTTACCTACTTGTGTAAACGGAGACAACACATTCGAGTGCGATTCCTCCTGATGAAACCTCGCTCAGCACAGAATTAGTGGAGTAGCGTGAGTTTCAGTTAAACCTTTGAGTGGAAAATCGTAGGCTAATAAATTCATAAGGGCTGGTTATTTTATTAATTTACATTTATTTTAACAACTACACAAAATCATCAATTAAAAATAAATTAATTCATCAAAATGTTTGAATAAAATAAAATTGTTTAATATCTAAGTACGCGACCGCTGCAGGCAGAATAATGCAATATACGACGGTAGACCACGGTATTCGTATTAAGATGATAATTGAAAATCACGGGGCTCTTTAACAAGCGCGGGGCCCTAGCGCCGGCACTGATCTTGCCCAATCCTGATGGCATATTTACTAGGAATCAAAATTTCCAAAAAAAACCCGCATTTTTTACCGTTTTTTTAGGAAAAATTGGTAAAATTTTGTTTCTTTAAAATTTCCGGAAAAATGGTTTTGACGAAAAAAACTGGTTTTTTTCCTGAAAAATTGAAAAATAATAATAAATAATTTATAATAATATAAAAATATATTATCGTCTCTGACATTTCCGCCATGATATTTTGTTGTTACGTATTTTCCTGATAATTATTAATTAATATTGTCAATCGTGTGCTATCTATATATTTTCTACAACTTGCAAGTAATATTAATTATATAACATTTAAAAATAAAGGTGGTTTATTTTCGGGGAAATATACCCTCCCACATAAATACCAATTTGATAATATGTAACTATGTTATTTTTAGAACAAATATTGAAATATCCGTTTAATTTAATTTATTTTAATTTAATAGATTAATTTTAAATTTTAATACAATAATACATTGATATAACCGTATTTTCAAATGTGAAATGACAATGGCAGGTTTCCTTATCTATTTTTTAAAATGGTTTTTTTTTTTTACATAGATTATTTTAATTTTTAAGCGTAAATACAATTTTTTAATTTTCCAAAAATTCGGTCTTTTCGGAAATATATTATTTTAATATTTTCCAAGTTTTCCAAGTTTTCCGAGGCTCTGGGAAAAAAACGGTTTTCTCCAAAATTTTCCCGAATATTCCAGCATTTTGATCCCTAATCTTTACTACTTATTCGTAACATACCGATAACTGCGGTGGCGTAGTTACGGGGGGGGTGTAAGGGGTTTCCACCCCCCCCCCCCCCCTATCATCAAAACAAAATGTTTATATTGGTTATAATTTTAAATAATAGTTACACTAAATAATACTAGTACAAATTAACATGTATATTATTATTACCATTTATAATAATATCCCTGGTTGTAGAAATTATCCGAGTGTTTACACTTCTATTTTAAGAAAACCAATTATAAAATCGACGAAAACAACGATAACGGCCTCCGACGTTCATCACTCCGACGCCGGTCGAATGTCGATAATATTACGATCTGTCGACCGACATAATATTTCATTTGATTGTTAGAGTTTGAAACATTAGTAAGCGTATCAAGTATCAATTATGGATAAATTTGTTATAAAAGTAACTAGGTAAGCATATTAAACAATATTGCATTATTTTTATACAATGTTAATAGTTTAATACCCTAATATAATAAATTACGCATAGCTTAAACTCTGAAAACATTATTATTTTATTTATTCTAATAAAATAATAATTCAATTGTTGCGTATTTAACAGTTTTGGTATTTATTATTTATTTTTATTGATGTTACTGTCTAGTATTTAATGTTTATTTTATAGTACATAATACTAGCTTCTATTAAGGTATATTTGTATATTTTAAAATTTTATAATATTACTTAACGAATACAAACAATTGATCAAAATATTAATTTTGTATTTTAGAAATCGAAACCTAAAAATTCTACCATAGTAAATTCTTTAGCACCTAAAAGTGATCTAAATATTAAGAGGACGCCCACCCGTTTGTGTTGTCTCCGTCTTACAAATGTACAACATAGCAAAAACTCTTTTGCGAGGGACAACTTTTCTCGCACCATATTTGTTGTAGGACTACCAAATTTTCACAGCACTTAAAGAAGAACTTTATCTGTGCAACAGCGTGCTCTTTTTTTCAATAGCACCATCCAATCATTTTTTATAAGCAAATTAAAAAACCAAATGTTTAGAAGCAAATAACTTGTATTATATATATATGTTATTGAAAAAAAAGCACACTGATGCACAGATAAAGTTCTTCTTTAAGTGCTGTGAAAATTTGGTAGTTCTACAACAAATATGGTGCGAGAAAAGTTGTCCCTCGCAAAAGAGTTTTTGCTATGTTGTACATTTGTAAGACGGAGACAACACATGCGGGTGTGGCGTCCTCTTAAGACTCCTGAAACCTGTATACCTTCTTCATCTTTTACTTCAGTTGATATAAGAATTAATGACATAATATATTTTGTTAACCGTGTGTTATCTCATAGTGAAATTCATACAGTTATAAATAATATATGGACACCATGAATTTCCTATTATAATAAAAATAAAAATAAAAATGACGTTTAGTTTAACTAATAACTTGTAAATTTGATCATAAATATATTTTAAAACCCCCCCCCAGAAAAAAATTGTATCTACGCCGCTGCCGATAAGAGCGGAACTTAGGATAATATATGATGAATTCGGTAACTATACATACTTTTCAACAAACATATAAGGTAAAAAGTACCTTATAGGTATCATGACAAGATAAATATTAATATTAAAAAATCTAATTTTACACATTGTCTTAAGCCGGATTCACATCAAATCGTACTGTGATTGGTAATTACTTTTTTGGTATCATGTAATAACCAAGTGGCAACCGAGTATACCAAGAATTGACTACAGCTCAACTTTTAAATCATTATTGTTACCATATAATAACCAAGCCATCGCATGACACGCCGTAGCCTTTATAGTTATAGGTAGGTATACCTATTACCTATACCATGATACCAAAATAATGTTATTATTTTTTAATAATTTAATTAATATATTATTACCTATCAATTATCATATTATATTATTTACTTATAATTTTATATTGTATCCACATCCTACATTATAATACATAATACAAAATACAACGTATAATACTATACTATATAATATATTTAAATATGCGCGTCAAGTCGCTCGATTTATGTTACTCGGAGCATGAATCCGGATTCCCACGACTAGTGTACTTTACCAATATTTGCATACTTGTACAATTTTTTGTCACTGGTGCCGTTCCCAAAAGATTTTTGGTAAATGTGGCACAAGTCGAAGCTGTTCCCACGAGCTATCCAGCATTTTTTATTAAAACATTTTTTTGAAACACACGTATTTAAACGAGTTAAGAACGATGGTGAAAAAAGAATTTGCGTGAATTTTAATTTTGGAAGACGTATTATATCCCTGAATCCTTCCAAAGTTGTCGATTTTATGCGTAGGTACAACAACACTATACTTTACTGCCACACGTAGCGCCTAACTATTACGAATTTTAAATTTAAATTTCTGACTTAATCAAATTATTATTTGTAATATTATACACATCCCGTATATTGTATATAATCAGTACTATATGATAGGACATGGGAACTATGTTGTTTTAACGTGCCTATATGCATAGACATCAGTTGTTAA